TTTCTTTTGAATGTATCTGTTTTAATCATTGTTTGTCCTCTAACACACTAAATGTGCTTGAATAGGATTTACCGAAGAAATACAGACTCAACACACTTAATGTGTGTGTGTGTTCATTTTACATTTATCGTGATTTATCATGCATATCCATATGCTCACACAGAATAAGTCAGTGTTATGAAGTTAGAAAATAATCTATTATATCCCCTAAAGTATTCGCTCACCCATCCAAATGATGGGTGTTTCACTTCCTTTCATTGCCACAGGTGCGTAAAATCAAGCACCTTGACTTGCAGACGGTTTCTACAAGCATTTGTGAAAAAATGGATGGCTCTCAGGAGCTCAGTGAACTCCAGCGTGGTGCTGTGATGGGATGCCACCTGTGCAACAAGTCCAACTGTGAAATGTCCTCGCTCCTAAATATTCCACAGTCAACTGTCAGCAGTATTACAGCAAAGTGGAATCAATCGCCACAGGCCTCCGGACTTCATGCGGCCTCCAGATTAGCTCAAGAACAGTGCACATTGAGCTCCGTGGAATGGGTTTCTGTGGCAGAGCAGCTGCATCCAAGCTCTACACCACTGGACTCTAAAGCAGTGGAGGCGTGTTATCTGGAGTGACCGATCATGCTTCTCCCTCTGGCAATCTAATGGATGAGTCACGGTTTGATGGTTGCCAGGACAACGGTACTTGTCTGACTGTATTGTATGAGTGTAAATTTTGGTGGAGGGGGGATTATGGTCTGTTTTTTTCCCCCATTTTTTCTGGCCCTGGGCATGGCTTAGTTCCAGTGAAAGGAACTTTGAATGGTTCAGCATGTTAAGAGATTTTGGGCAATTCCATTCTCCCGACTGTTTGGAGATGCCCCTCCCTCTTCCAACTTGACTGTGCACCCATGTACTAGCAAGGTCCATAATGACCCAGATTAGAGGGTTTGGTGTAGATGGCCTTGACTGGCCTCTCCTCAATCCTAGAGAACACCTTTGCAATAAGTTTAGAGCAGAGACTGAGTGGCAGACCATATTATCCTGCATCAGTGTGTGACCTCACAAATGCACTTCTGGAGGAATGGTAAAGATGATAATAAAGACACTCAAAAAACCTTGTGGACAGTCTTCCCAAAAAAGTTGAAGCTGTTCAGAAAAAGGGTGACCAACGTCATACCGAAACCTATGAATTAAGAATGGGATGTCACTGAAGTTCAAATGGGAGGAGGGTGAATACTTTTGGCAATATACTGTACTAGTTCATATGAAATGGGATGTCTGTTGGTGCTGTGCTGCTTCAAGTTTTAATCCACAAAGCATGGGTTTATGAAAGGTTATCTTAATGATTGTCTATTTGTATATGTCAAAACAATAATTGAGGATTTGTTTTCATTTAGATTGGAAATTATTATTGCCAGTTGCAAAAATACGTCCAGTTTGTTATTCAAATCTGGGATGCTGGTTGTTGTCAAAATGTCATGGTAAGTTTTGTAATGTATCAAATGAATATGTAACTGTTAAAATATATTTTAATCGGTTTCCCCAATATTACAAGTGAGCAGATCAACAAACTCTCTCCTTGTTTCATTTGTGTTGTTCTGTCTCAGTAAATCCAGGTGAAACTCTGCTAAACTGAATAGGAAACTGCCTTAATGAGTTTTTCCCGTCACTGCCGTTCAGTTTACCTATCAGTCTTCTCACACTGAATACTTGAAGACATGGGCTGTACATCAGATGGAAGATGAGAAAAACAAACTGACTGTGTTACACGCTGCTGTACATCTATACAACCATCCACCATCTTTCATCTATCAAAGGTTTGGTTGCAAAAGTCTAAGGCATTCCAATTGAAAATGTTATCAAACTGGGGCTCAGGGAATAATACTTTGATATACATTTGGCAAGGGATTGAAAGCACTGGCCAGTGACATCTGATACCTACCTTAGGCAAATTATGTTTAAAAAAAAACTACTTAGCTGCAATGTTCCAAACCTTCTAATTTTCTTTGCATTCCCCTACAATAATTAAATCTAAATGATACTTTGCAAATATGTAAATATAGCAAATGTTGTCCTTGGACTTGTTTACATTCACATATAGAAAGTACAGTATCCTCTAAGCAGCCTTTCTGTAGGTTGTTTGCTACAAAGCACATGATACATCGTCAACTATATCAGCCCCCACATGCTCCACCCCTGTACCCTGCTGCACAGAAGTGTAATGGCCTTTTATCGATTCCTCCGTCTCTCATCGTCTTTCTTCTCTTTCCTTGCCCTACACTCTGCACTGTAATGAGAGGTGGTTAAGAAAAAGCTGCTGCATGAGGTGTCTATTTATTTTTTTCAAATGCATTTTCTTTGCATACAGATTAGTGAGAGGGTGTATGTAGAATATATATATGTATTGATACAGCAATTTCTTGTTCGATATTGTGTTCAAATGACATCCATGGACGGGACATGCATTTGAAAAAATTACAACCCCAGGTGGGTATTAGGCTACGCTGGCAATGCCTGGTAATACGTAGGTGAATTTCAGGCTTTATGCCTCGTGCGTCACAGAAGCTGTTCTGTTTAATTCCTCTTATATTAAGCTCTTCGGGACATGGGCGGTTTCCATAGTACATGTAAAGGAGGCTCATTAAGTCTTCTTTTGATAGTGTTGTTGAAGACCTAATGGCTCATGAAGCAAAAACAGATGAAGGATTGAAACGGTTAAATGGGATCTTCAATATTCATAACACACACAGGAAACATTTCCTTTAAAGCTATAAGAAAAGTCCTCATTTTCCATCTGTCTTGTGTATTATTGACGACTTCCACAAATTAATTTGATATAATTATGAAATTAATACTGAATTGATCTGAAATGATTTGCATTACAAGACAACACTCAACAGCTCCTTGTTAAGATATAATTTGTCTCTGGTAGTTAATAACACCTGGGAACAGACTTTGTGTTTTTTTTTTTTTCCTTGCTGACTGTGATAAATTTGCAGTGCATTGAAAACACACCTGTGATTATTTTTTTCAGAGAAGAGAAGCTTGCTGCATTTCTGTAGAAATGCATATAATTACTGTATCTACAGCTGAGCTTTAAATCTCTTGTTTTTCTATGTAAGAAACCACACAAGGGCAAAGGAATGAAGTAAGAAGCAACAAATTGCAATGAACAGAGAGCATTCGGAACACCAGAGTTTGCATGCCTTTGAAAGGGTTATGCCTCTTAGCAGCCTTTTATTGAAACTAAGGATGAACAGGATCCACTGTAGTAGCAAATCCTTTGTACAACCAACACACTGTGAGCGCAGGATTACCAGACGCTGTCTTAATTGATCTCATTATCTTCTTCCTGCTCCTCTGTAAAGCCATCCACTCTTAAGTGTATCTTGTGATATATCTTAAATGACTGCAATTTGGCAGAGCGTATCATTGTATTTTTCTTCCTTATTATACTTATGATTAGTTTTGTAGAATAGTTCTATAGGGCTTAAATGACTTTTGTGTGATCCTAATTTACCTAAAATAGGCTCATTTTACACAAATTCTCTGCTTATCATAGGACTGCTATTGTGAAAGCCTCCTGAAAATCTCCTGTTACCCTTTGTTTCTACTTATTTGCTTCTTAAAAGAGTCATTTTGTAAAAAGGCCTTTCGTCCAAGTATGTGATCCCTGTAATCGCTTAGTCCTGCGTTTGTATTGGGTCATATTTCGACGGAACCTTTAAAATTGTCATCACACTAATCCATAATCATTCAAGCATAAAAACAGACACCTTATTATGAACCTAGGTAACCTGTAATGACATGGTAGTTTTCTGTCTGTAAGCAGTTGCAGACACATGATTAATGAACATTTTTAGAGCTGTACATAGAAATATAAAATATGTATATTGCTTTTTTTTGCATGATCTCTGTAATTCCGCCAGCTACTAATTAACTTTCAAAAGTAGGGGCATAATAGGAGTACAGAGGTACTTTCCTGGATTATATACCAAATATGGCTAATAAGTGGATCCTAAGGCATTTAATTCTACTTTTAGATGCTCTGAAAGGTACACACATGTACAAGTAGTAAGTGGGCAAACTACAAGGGTACAACTGCTGGACCTTTGAGGGAACCATTTAGGGGCTCTTGTTTTTCTTATCTGAGAGTGAGTTATTGAGCTGCTTGTGCCTGTCTCAAAGACACATTTGATCTAAAGTGCCTCTGATCTTAACTTTTTTCTATAATACGGAAGACAAGACCTTTAGGGAGCCTTTATTTAGGTGGTGTTTAGGATTTTTCTCTGAGTAAAAACACACTACTAGTTAAACATACAACAGTGTTTCTTCTGTTTTTTCTTAGCTTTGATATCGTACACCAGACCAACGCTCCTCTCTTACATCTTCTTACAAAGGCTTTTTGTTTTCTGGGACCAACTCAAGAACAATTTGCAGACCATGCTTTACATGTTCAGATTGTATCTGTTGCAGTTGATCCACTGGTTCAAGTGGAACCTGGTGTTTATGACCATGCATTCACTGATGTAGTAATGAGTAGAAAGGAATTACCATTGTCATAAACGTAAGAGCATCAGATGATACAGGTCAAATCAGATAGTTTGCTAGCACTTATTATATTTTTACATCTTTCCCTCCCCATAATAGATAAATTACAGCTATTCAGACTATTTTTTATTTTCAGCATCCTAATTATGATATTTGAAAACGTTTATTGACAATCCAAAGTATTGGAAGCTTCCAAAGCTGGATTTGACTAGTGGCATGCTTGCGGGTGGTTGTATCTTAGGAGGAGAGAGCAGTTGCCCACTGATTGGAAGGTCAGTGGTTCAACTCCATGTTCCTCAAGGCCACATGTCGAAGATGCAGGTGTGTGTGAAAGGTGAATGTAATGTAGTGTAAAGCGCTTTGAGTAGTCAGTTTGACTGAAAGTGTGCTCTATATCTACATTTCTAGGTCATATATATCTAAAACACCATACACCCTTGTTAATATTTTCAAAACCAACAGGCAAGTACTTGTGTGTTAAGATATGCCTTTCTTTTTTTTTTCCAGGACACAGAAATCCTGAACACAGCCGTTCTCACAGGCCGCACAGTCGCTGTTCCAGTGAAAGTGGTCACTGTTGGGACAGATGGAGCCATATCAGATGTCACAGAGTCAGTGGAGTGCAAGTCTACAGATGAGCAGGTTATCAAGGTGAGTGAAGGAAATATCCACCGTAGCTGTTTTGACATCGACTCTGTCAACAGTCTACCCAATTACACATCTGTGTGCCCATCTGTTTTTTTCAAATCTTAGTGAAATATCATTCAGACTTTATTCATTCATGTATGAAAGCCACTTAGATTATTTTTGAAGAGTCATTATGACCACTTACACAAGAAGTTATTATCATTATGAAGTCATATTGATTTATGTGTTTTTCCACAAGGTACTATTTCTGATAAGAGAAATCACAGATATTGAATAGAATATGTGCAGTACTTATATTCTCTTGTAGTTGAGCACTCACCCAATCCAAAGATCTGAGGTCTGTATTTAGTTATCTGCTGCAATACCTTTCATGAGGAAAGACTCATCTAGCACATAAAAAAAAACAAATGAACAAAACCTGAGAGGAAAATCTAGAGGAAAAAGAGAGGACAGAATGACAGGAGAACTAAATAAACAAAAGAGAGGTAAAGAATAAAAAGATATTTAAACTAATAAATGAAAAGAGTAATAGAGTGGAGGATTTCTTTCTGCAAGTTCTACACAATAGTGTGTTTTCAAAGGGCTTACACTAACAATAGTATCCATCATCATCAACCTTTGTTACTTATTAAGCTATTGTTTGGTAGAGAACTCTCTGGCTTCCAATCAAAAAAGGTAATTTGATTTTTAATTGTATCCATTCTCCTTTACATGTTCACAAGATGTTCAGGGTTAGCCTGAATATTAATTTTTTTTTAAAGTAAATCACAATTTCACGTTTTGCATCGTTCATTATTCTGAGAACAAAGTATATTAAAACTGAGAAACATTTTGGGGGATTGTTGGGATCAGTATTTTGTCTAAGGACCCTTAGTTGTATATCAAAGATGTTAAATTACACTTAAACTGTCTTTCTTCTTTTCTCATTCAAGGCCTGCAGAAATATGTGGTACTGTGGCGGATAATGAGATTTTCAAATGAATTAGTTTTATTAAACTTCCATTCAACCACAGAAATAAATGTTTGATTGACTAAAAACAGTAAAAGAAGCCTAAGTTTCCCATCTATAACAAATATTATTCAATATTTTTATCAAAATTAGAGAAAGCTGTAAGAACCCCTGATCCTTATGTATCTTCTCACTGGAAAATGTGAAATTAAAATGTATATAACACACAAATATTTTTATTTTCTCGAGATTCTTTTTTTACTAGATCACTTACTGTACACTATTATTTTTTCAAGTCACACAACATTTACATTTTTGCCATAAAACTGCAACAAAAAAACAAACATAGCTTTTGTGTACACATGGTACTGTTCAGTTTATTCAGCTCCGTCCAACATGAAAAAAACTGTGGATTTCTCCGACCCTCAGCTGTCTTAGTGCTTTAACTAAGAGCTGCTTTGGGTTCAGAAATATTATTTGAATTGGGCAGGGTCTACACGGTTTGCAGGTTGTACCTTTTTCACCCTAAGCATGAATGTGGTTGCCGTTCCACAGCTTAATTTGCTCTTAACATGTTTGTAGAACCTGTTGTAAATTAGAAGGGTTATATACGGAGGGAGTGCCGGTCATTATTACCTAAGATTCATTGTAATGATGTTTCATGCCAGCGATTACTTTTGCTTTAATTCTGTTTGCTGACCTTATCAGATTAAGCAAAGTTCTTGTCAACCTAAAGTTTGATTCCTATAAGAATCAAATCGACACTGCCTAGTGTCACTGAGGACCTTCCAATCGTGTGTTTGATTAATGTCAGCGAAAACTTTGAATAAAAGTGAAAAAGGGATTCACAACCTTATCAAACAGGAAGATGGAACGTGTAGAAGATAAGGTCATGCTGATGTGGGCTGACAATCAATCTGAAGGAGAGATAGAGAATTAGAAGGAAGAAATTAAAGGCAGGAGAGGAGAACTGACAGACACCAAGCTGTCAGTTTGTTCCTCAGAGGGATTAGCTGATCTAACAACATTTGAGAGCAAAGCTGCCAAGTTATATTCAAAGCAGTGGAGACAGATGACAGTCTTGTTCTGACTGGGATGTTATAGAAAGCAATTGTGAACTACTGAGGACAAGCGTTGAAATTAGAAGTTGTGCCCGTCAAGCTTCTAATCTTTAAGACTGAAATGCAAATGATTCCAAACAAAATCGAAAATTTGGTCCTCAAGAGTGGAAAATGATTGGAATGATGAAACAAAATCTGTTGCTTTTAAGATAATGAGAGATACTTCTGGCGAAACCGCTATATTTTTGTTCTATATTTGAGATCCACATGAGGAACGTGGATAACCGTTTGGAGTCATACTTTATCTAACCAGTCATAATTCAGTCCTAAGTTCCCCAGCTGGAAGAAACAGGTTTGTTTCTTTGCAGCGCTCCATCTGTTAAGTTGGACCAAAGTCACATTACTTGCTCACATAATATTGTGCATGCCTGCATATTACAGATGAATCAGCACACAGATAGACACACACACACACACACACACACACACACACACACACACACACAAACATAGAAGGAAACCGAGCAGATCAGACACTTGAGATTTCACTGAATCAATGCCAAATCTTTCCCTCCTTCTGTACCTCAGAAGAGGCTGTTGACTACATAAAAAATAGCAAATATTCTTTCTTAAAGCAGCCCAAACTGCATTAGCTTTTATAATGAAATACAGAAGCATCACGTGAAAAGTGTATGGTTGCCTTCAGGAAATTTCAATTTGTCTAAGTAGTCAAGCTGAAACAGATAGAATTTTTCTTTCTTCTCTCTATTTTCCCCCATCAGGTTTCAGAGCGCTGTGACTATGTGTATGTGAATGGAAAGGAGACGAGAGGGAAGACCAAGGTGATGCTCAACTTTACCTACAGTTTTCTCGGCGCACAGCTGGAGATGAGTGTCTGGATGCCCCGCCTACCTTTGGTCATCGACGTGGCTGACCCAGAGCTCAGCCAGATTAAGGGCTGGAGGGTCCCCTATGGTTCAGGCAACAGGAGGTAAAACATAGTCGTCTGTTTCCCGTAAAGTGTCCAGTCTATGTAGCATGTCGTCTCATAAGTGATCAGATAGGAGAACATCCATATGTCCATGCCCGCAGAAAAAATCCTTCATCACAATTATACTAAACAGCGGCCTCCAAGAGGTGAGAATGATTTATTATGTTGCATTTACCTGAAAAAAGAAACATGAAAAATGTTGTCTGGTCGGCAACAGCTGTTGTGTTTAAAAAAGTATTCATTGAAGACCAAGTAATGTTTTTTTTCCAGTTAGGTTATTGTTTTAAACCAACTTAGAACTGGGAAAAATGCTATCGTGTTATTAACATATTAGCATATATAGCAGCTTTTAAAACTTGACGACATGAAATTAAAGAAGCTTACAGAAAAGAGTCATGACATAAGTGGTGTAGACATTACTAATCGCAGAACACAGGATCAGCTGCATAATCAGCATTTAGTAATATATGTCAATGATATCCTAAAATGTAACCAATTTGCAGTAAAAAAGGTATGGGTAAGTGTTGTTGTTTTTTGGCGCAGTGTGCGTTTCACTCGACAGTTCTGATAAAAAAAATATAGATTTTTTATTTTCCTGATATAAATATTGAATATTTGTCCTACTAATTAATTGAAGATTATATTCAAATGAAACAGAAAATCAGTGAAGCACATTGACTAATTTACATTCTAATTATTATTTGCCGTGATAACAGAAGCATATTTATAGTGGCCAGAACATTGAATTGATGTATTATTTCATTGTGGTTTATGTTGTAACTACATGACATGGCAAACAACATAATTATACAGATTATCTTTGGGGTGAGGCATTCATTTATTTAGGATGACAGTCAAGTTTATAGAAGAGCCCTAAATTCCAACCCTTTTTCACAAAAGCTGGATTTATGAATTATGCAGACAAATTTAATGCATGCAGGTTTAGAACATTTTCAGTCCCATATTCCAAAACAAAACTTTTGGGTTACAGTAGTTAAGTCTAAAAATGTATTCTTTGAAGGCTTGTGTTTTATATTTAATTCCAGTAAATGAGTTTTTAATAGGAGTATATTTGTCGTTCAGTTACTTAAAAAGTCAGTGGAAGGTAGAAACGTGCAAATAGAATTAGTCAAATGACAAAAAAGAACGAAAAAGAATGGTATTGCACTTTACCTAAAGAATGAAGGGCTAAAAACTCACCGAATACATAAAATCGTAAGACGCTTAGAGTGTTGTCTGTTGATGGCAGATACCATCAGCGTAAAGGATCCACAAGGTGATAGAGAGTTTATTTTAACCTGCTTGAATTAGGAATCACACGCTCACGCATATTTCTGTCAACTTCCAGGCATTCTAACAATGGCATGTCCTGCAAAGATGCAACTATCAGGAAGCACAAAGTGACCACATTGAAAGGGAGAGAGAGATAGAGAGACTCCACCCAAATGTTTGAACAGAATATACAGTATATACAATAGTATATAATATATACAATTATCCCAGCTGTTTCAGGTCAAATATATGAAGTTTCTGGTATATGTTTCTGGTAATATTGAATTTCCTATCATCGTCGCTCTGCACAGAATCGGTTAAGAATGAATAGTGCACTGGCATTATTACTCCTTAAACTGTGGTTATCTGAGTAATTGCACAGCCTTTGAACTTCTTAAAGCGCTGCTGGCTGTTCTGGTATGTGGCCAGGTCTGAGTTGATGTTGCATTTCAGTTCCACTCTTTCTCTCACAATTTATCATCCATTTGAGAATAAAAGTCTGGGCTTTCCATATTTTTTGCATCAAGGGGAAAGGGTGAAATGGTTAGATAACTGGAGGCAAGTCTGAGTCTTATTTATTGTAGCAGGGCTAATTATAGCTCCAGTATTGAGGTGGGGTAACTTTTGCTTGTCATTTGTACTGCACTCAGTCTCATTCAATCATGTGAGGTCACACCTGGTAAAGGAAAAACTTGAAAATGAATCCTCCAAACTCCACAACTGAGAGACGTTCAGTTACCTGTTCATTTATTTCATATAACATTTTTTAAAGCAAATTTCTTGGTTGTCAGTTTTTGATCAGTTAGATTTCCTGGAATAAGGTAATCTCTGCTGACACCATCTTCAGACACTTAGGTATATCAGACTTTAGCCAAGAAAAGGTAAACACATATAAAGACCATCAGCAGTCTTAAGTACAACCATAATTATCACTTAAATAAGTTTTATGCCACATATGTGCTATATCCTGTGGGATGATGAACTGTATTTAAACTCATAAATCCTCATACTGCTGTTCCCTTCCAACCACGAAATCCCTGCATTTAAAATCCGCCTACAACCCACAGGGTGGCACTCTCACACAAATGCCCCCCTGCTATCAATGCCGGATCACATTTTGCATGTGTTTCAAGTGCAAATCTCCGTAAAGAATTAATTCTATTTGTAGTTCACAGTGTGTGTGGATTCTGAGGAGCAAAATGATAGGAGCGATCTGAATGGGTACTCACTTCTTGGCATTGGTTTTTCAAGAAGTATGTGCTCCAACTAAGCGAGTGCTCATTCACTTTCACAAAAGTGTCCAAGCCACCTCATTAAAGTCGAGCACCATAGGTGACCTGTCACTCACAGCTACAAACATGCCCTGACCCCATGTTTTTGCTCCCAGCCACAAATGTCACCTTGGTGTAGATTGCTGTCCCCTCACTCATGTGCAGGAAGAGAGGATAGAAAAGGTTTTTGGGGGGTGGGGTAGGGGGGGGTATAGTGAATGCAGGTTAGGAACCAAGCCAAGCCATTGGGCCACAACATGTTAACCTGTCAGCCCATTTCTCTGCCTGACCGGCCATGCCTCATTAAACCTAATGGAAACTGTCACTGTCACTCCCCTCTGGCCACCTGACTGCTAGAGAGCCAAGCAGAGCTTTAAACAGTAAGAATAGAAGATGTGGGAGATTCAGAGCTTGGAAGAAAAAGCAGAGAAGAGATAATTAGAAACTGATGTAGTCTGACTTGCAGAATGAGCGATATATGACAATAGCAATGCATTTAAAACAGAATAGATCTAGATGCAGAGGCAATGCGCGGTATAAGACAATAACAGATGGGTAAGCATTACGCCTATTGTTTAAAGTCATAGTAAGAGTAACTGAAAACACAATGCAAAGCAAGGTCTGAAAAAGTCAAACAGAACCCTAATGCAAGCAAGCAGACACAGAATGTTTCAATTCTGCATTTCAGAGTTGTGTTGAAGTTTTAATGCAATGAACAATGGTAACGCATGTTCCAAACAGCTGGGTGCCATTCTAGTATTGCCTATAGAGGGTTTGAGACCATATTTTATTCATCACTTTTCCCCCCCTCACACACTCATTTTACTCACTTCTTGCATCATTGTTTTCAGGTCTTGCACCCTGCATAGTGGCATCTATTAGTACACCAGTGTAATCATCTTAATCATTATATTTTCCCCTCTTTTCTTTCTTTCTCTTTTTTTAAAATCTTTTTTATAGCATGTTTTTGCCGTTTTGTTAATTTGATAAGAGGGTTTATTAATCCAACAAACACAAGAACAAAAGAAGGGAACAAATACTGAACAAAGTCCCAGATTTACAAACATTCGTATACATTCTGAGATGGATATATCTCCTAAGCTTTTGCTGTAGGCCAACTAAATGGCAGATGTATAGAAAAAAATATCAGTTGCCCTTTTAAAGGAAATGAGAAAGAAAGCTAGGCAGCCGTTTGTCTCTGCAAGCTGTTTTAATGGATTTTTGAAAACCCAGCGAGACTGTGACTTTGGGAATGTCAGCCAAACATGCAGCACAAACGTAGCAGAGGATTTGACAGCTTTAAATACCTCTGAGGTTTTAAACGTCTATGAATTAGATACTGAGAAGAGAAAACAAATAATTTTGTCACAAAAAATACAATTCTTTTTGCACATCTTGATCTTTGTTAATACCTAGAAGCGAAGAGCCTTTGCTGCCTTTTACCTTAGAAACGTCTTTAAAGGAAATGAACGCTTTCTGCATCCTTCACTGATTCTTCATCAATGTTTGCATTTTGCTCACACTGACTGTTGTCTTCTCATTTAGGTATGAACGGGTTACCGATGACAGGGAAGGTGCTGAGACAGCGGAGGACAGGACAGAAAATGCCTGTGTGGCGCAGTACCAGAGCACCTCTCTGCGGGTCCTCACACACTTTGTAGCGGATAGTGGAGAAATGAAGGGAGTCATGGAAGACGAGGGTCAAAACAACTTCTTGCTTGGTAGTGACTGGCAGGTGGATGTGACCCAACTGGTCAAGGAATCTTTGAGGGTGGAGGACCCAAAGATCGCCAAACTGATGGACGGCCAGGTTCTCATCGGACTGACCCCTGGAACAACCAAACTTCAGGTAGTAAGGATGTACAATTTACTCCTATAAGTTGTTTTTAAATCTTGATTCCCACATTGCTTAAAACTAATCAGTAATGACAGGTACATCTTTTTAAGAGACAGCTTCAAAGGCTATTGCTAGAAAAGGCTAACTAGAAGTTAGTCAATCATTGGAATTGCTGCCTCCACAGGACAGCTTGCAGATTTACTTACTTGCCTATATAGCACTTTTTTGCTTTTCCAAGCAAAGGGGGAAAAAAACATGAACAAGCGCATCACAATTTATATGGACTGACAGAATAATGAGACACGGTGATAGGATAAGGCAAGTTTATTGGAAATTCAATAAAGAATTTGCCAAAAATAAATACAAACCTTACATTTTTATGTACTTCACCACTAATATATTAAGAGAGTTCAAAGACATTTAACAAAAGAATGAAGGAATCCATGAGTTTCAACTTTTTTGCCTTTTATTCACACTCTTTGTCACACGCCTTTGTCTGTAATATGTTTTTCATTAATTCCCAGCAATCAGTACTTGACACGTGTGTTCACATGAACAAGACTGAAAATGTGTGTGCTTACACAACATTTGTATGTAAAAAAATAATAATAATAACATTTGGTCAGAAAGGCTAAAGCCAGAATTTTTACATACTAAGAAATAGTTTGAAATTCAAGGTCTCAAAGTCAGATACGCACCCCTGTGTTTGAGTAAAAGTACCAGTATGCAGGTGGTTCAACTACAGCCAAACTGGCTTTAGCATTTTAAACATTCTCTGTAATTTTCATTCTCGGCTTTGACCTGAAAGGACAGAAATAGTAACAACAAAACAAATAAAATAACTAGTAACAAAAGAGAAGTGCCAAAAGGAGGTTTGCAGATATTGATAAAATGAATAAATGCATGTCAAGCTTGTAGCACTTAAGTAATTTAGAGGGCTGTGTAACCATTTGCCTCAGGTTGAATTGTTTGTCAGCTGCTTTTGATGGTGGCATAAAAGATCAATAGAAAGATGCCCTGTGCCAAAACGGGATGTAGTATGGCTAACTACACAAACATTTTCTATAACTTGATTTACCTGCATGCCTGTTTACTGGGACAAGTGTAATGCTCTATCCATGTGACCAGGTTAACCTTTAATCATGACATGTCCAAACTCTTTTCAAATTGAAAAACAGTCGTCAAAGAGCTGGTCCTGAATCTAAATCTCATGTTTGTCTATCCTGTTGCTATCATCCAATTCGTCTCAACGCTATTTTTCTTAAATTAAACTGGCGCTGTAAAGCTACATCTTCAGAAATTTCTGGCGGCACTTTCTTCTGCTGCAGCTGACGCAGTTACAGAAGCAGATGAAAAGATGGCAAGATGCAGCTGTTGAAAAGTCCCCTGAGTGTCCAGAAAGTACTAACTAATTGTCAGTTATGTTGTTCTGTGAGAGATGGATGATTATGGAATAATATAACATAACTACAATGAACCCAGAATAAAAGAGAGTCTGGGTTCTTCTGTCAAATATTGACTTACTGTTTGGACTTTTTAACAAGAAAGAAAAAAAATAGACTTTTGGAGTCTGTGAAGTAGGACAGAGCAGGTTTACTGAGAAAGATATGTGAACATCCACATTGATAACAGCATGGCACAAACACTAAAGTCCATCTTGAGTTGACAGAAAAACATCCTTTAATGGCAGGTGTAGTAAAAGCTCACACCTGCGCAGGCTTTCATTTTCTCAACCTTTTATAATATTTCTTCTTGACACATGTGCACATCAGACTTCACAATTATCCAAGTCCTATTTATTAGATGATGCAATACAGTCCTTGTTCAGAATAAAATGTGTGTTTCTCTAAAATCATAAATCAACATCAGTGTGCTACTTACTGGACAGAAACCGGAAGGAGCAACACATTGTTGAAACACAGGATTTGGACAGCAATTTCCTGCTCTTTATTCACTGAGTTGCATGTGCTGCATGATTGACTATGTTAATATGAATCTTATTATGCGTTTGCAATACAGCATCAGCCCTGAAATTTACTCTTGAAACCTGTGTACAGGCTTCACTCATTTTTCAACAAAACAATGCAATCATTTCATTTCCTACTAATGTACTGTATATTCTTTGGAAAATTCCATTCAAAGTGGAAAATTGAAAAAGAAAATGTAATTCCACATCTGGTTTCCTTGAAACATCCCGCTACAATGTTACAAATAGACCAACATCAAGCTAGTATGACCATCAAAGCACAAGTGAGCATTAATCTGCACTTTATATTTCAATTCTGTGTAAAAGAGTTTGTATAGATATATTCTCCTAAAGCACAATCATTCTTAACCGTGTAATGTATAAATATAGAACCTATTTGAACAAAAAATATATATCCTCATCTTTTCGTTCCATCTGTAAGGTTATATCTGCAATTGCATGATCCAAATAGGAAATGCACATTTTCTTTTTTGTGTGGCCTACGACTTGTGAATGAGTTGGTACCCTGGAAGGTCCAGCAGTTCCTAATTGGGAACATAAGTATACCGTTCAGGGTATGTGCATTGGGATCCAGTTATTAGCCATATAGAGTATATGTCACAAAACATCCTCAGGAGATATTTAATGTGCTTCTCTTTTTGACATTGTAAGCATTACAGCTGGGGATTCACATATGACATTTAAACCGATTTCAAGCACTTTAAAAGACCATCAATACAAACCTCTTTGTGTCTATAGAGTTAGTAATGCGATTATTAATGAACTGTGCTCCAGGTTCGATGGTTTAGCATAAAAAAAAGAATTAATCCCTTTAGGTATTGTCATTCTGACCTATTATAAAGGTAGTATTTAAGTGTAAGTAAGAGATTTATGGCTTGGGTGAGAATGCATTGAAAATCATTCTTGATGGTTGAATTAAACCAGATCCAGGTGTAAATGGGATTTTAAATGGGATTTTGACGCTTTCAAATTGTAAACTTGACTTGATGTTGACTGAAATTATACAAGACAAGACTCTGACAACTTTGATTAGGGAAAGATAAGCATGCAAAGGATCTTTAATTGCCCTCTGGAGGAAGAATGACTAAATCTGTAAACTCAGGAACTGGTGTGGGAAATGGACTTGACAACATCTGAAAATCTTATGGAAGGATCTCACAATTATGGATGCATGTCAAAGGCCGAATCTACACGTTTCTTTAAGGGAAAAGAAGAAACACGTAGGCTTGATGAGAAGCAGAAAAGTAATGGGACAGCTGCTACATCCACCTTGACATCTAGAGATGAGAGCTGCCAAAACTCTTGACATTTGTCAAAATGTAGTAGTCAAGGTTTGTCTGCTTGAGGAATGTTTTTTTCTTTTTCTTTTAAATGCTTCCACGTTGCTCTCAGGCAGAAAGTTTATAGAGTACATAACAAATTCAGATTAGAGTGAGTCACACTCCTGTCGTGGTTGGAAGATTAGCTTCTTTAGCCCAGCAAAGATAATATAAGATTCCAGATCCTTTACGCCACCCTTGCGCTCACATCTTAGTGATTTGGTTGGAATTGTTATGTAAGCTTAAATGTGCTTATATTTATAAGTTTTCATGACTCGAAGGCAGAGATTACATCATTTGTGAATTTGAAACAATCAGAAATGGAGGCACAGTATGTTTGATGAAGTTATTTTTTAACTAAAATAATTGGCAGTAATATTTAGAGGACAACATCATGTGTTAACTGCATGTTTCCTTCCCCTCTTGTTGTTCTAAGAAAGAAGAAAAAAATGGTGTAAGCTCTAATGTTTGTTAACTAAACCACAAAGCTTAACAGGCTCTGCCAATTTAATCTTTACCCTCACTTCAAAGAAAAAGGTAGAATGTGCATACTGTACTGAGACTAAATCATTAGCTACTGAACACATTAGAGGATGTCACTTTCACTGTAGGAAGCAAAAGGGAAAATGCAAAGAGGTAAACCAAAGAGAGGACAAGAGGAAAATGGGTCTGTACAAATGAGGCCATGATCATTGCTGACAGTTCATTATGGCTGGTAAATGCAGCCATGTGGGGGTGGCTGCAGGGGAGACTGGAGCTATAATTGGTGCAGATAAAAGATATTCTCATATTTACATGCTTACACCTCTGGCAGCTCAGAAAGTGTGAGTATATGTTACTAGGGTAAAGGCAGCAATACAGTTTGTTTTGATTTGAGTAAGTTTGTGCTACTCTCTTTATCACTACAATTGTAAAACACAGACATATTAGTCATGATTAGAAGGCAAAAGATTATAATGACATTGAGGTGTTTAAAAAATTATGCGAAGAAATTCTGGAGTCGAAAGTTAAATTAGTGCATCTGTTGATCCAGCAAATAGCTGTGCTCAAGAAACAGATTCAGCAATTACCAGCAATAATTTTATTCAAACAATTAGCATTGTCACAATGCCACAAAAATCCTGGGAGTAAGAGAGCTTCATCATTGAAACTTTCGTTTAGAAAAACAACCAGAATTCTAGTTCCAAAAGGAAAGAGGGTAAAACCAGAATTGTTTTTCACCTTATCTATTGTAATCATGTATAAATATAGCCAAGCCAGGATAGTCCATTCAAAATGCTGGATGAGATTAATCATTTCACCACAATTACAGTTGAAGTGTTTTCTTCTTTCCCAGAGGGGCTATTCCAAGACATGAGCTATATGTGTTTATTTTATTTTTCGCAGGTGCCGTCCCCTCTTACATCCCTGGTCCTGGCTGAAAAGAGCATCAGGGTGCAAGATGATAAAGTGAGTGTGACAGAGCTCGGGGTGCAGTTGGTATCTGGTCTCTCTCTCTCCCTACAACTGAGCCCAGGGAGCAACAGGGCCATCGTCGCCACCGCAACGACACAGGAAGTAATCGAGTCACTGAAACAGGTATGATGTCCTCAAAATGCATCATTAAAAACATCTGAATTTTTTTTCTGTTTGATTTTTTTATAGAAATATCAAATCAGCCTCTACTGTAGTATGTATTTGGATTATAAACACATTGTTTGATCCGAGTTATGATAGGCTCTGTGGTATACTCTGACATTTTTCTTTTAAAATAATTTAGTAAAGAAGTCTTCTCTTTGATTTTTATCTCCAACTGCTCAACAGCAGTGTTATTCCCTAAAATCATCATTTCCGTTTCTTTTCCATCATTTCTTGGTGTCATTGTTTTAGATCCATTTTTTTCCATTCCTGTTGTTTCACTGAACATAATTACTGTAATTAAAACAGATTTTTGCCTCTTTTTTTTTTTTTTTTTTTTTTTCCCTTGCATCAACAGGAATGTGCAGATTTTTTTTTTTAGATTTATTTTGGGAAAATTTTTCAATGTAAAAAACTGCTTTTGTTTTCATTTGGCTTTTGGCTGTTTCTCCATTTTTGCAGGAATCTCTCATCAGTGCTTGGCTCCAGTTCAGTGACGGATCCATGACTCCTCTAGACAACTACAACCCTGCGCATTTTACTCTGGCAGCAACGTCTTTGGATGAACAGGTAGTGGGGGTGCAGCAAAGTTCTGCTTGGAAGTGGCCCATCATTGTTGCCAAGGGAGAAGGTCAGGGTTTGCTTGTGCGTGTTGAAATGAGCCCGTCAGAAGTGTGCCAGAGAGGTAAAAGACGTACAACTTTAGCGACTGGAATGGCAAATATACAGGTAAGGTTTGGCCAACCAGAAGATCAGTATAGACAACCCGGTGACAGAAGAACACGTCCTGATCCTCCATATTATGGTGGATCTATCTCTGACATGGAAACTGGGTTAATTAACCGTGGAGCCACTACCATCAGGGGTCATGTCCCAGTGAGGCCTAACGGGAGTCGCTTATCAGCAGACAGTGGTGCAAGGGCCCCAAACCAATTCTCTGAATATCCAGATCAGGCAGATCTGCCGCGGAGCCGCACCACTGATGAGGACCTTTTGCCATCTCGACGAGGCCTGACCGACTTGGAGATCGGTATGTACGCTTTGTTGGGAGTCTTCTGCCTGGCTATCCTGGTTTTTCTCATCAACTGCATTTCTTATGCATACAAGTACCGTAGCAAGCATCTGTCTCTGGAGGCCCCAGAGGCAATGCCACATGCTCACGATTGGGTTTGGCTAGGCCAGGAGGAGGGACTCTGTCTGCAACAGCAGCAGCATGAAGAACCAGGCTGTGGCCTGGAGGAGGGCAGTCAGTTATTAAATGGAGGTGTCCAACGTGGTGGCATCGGTGTTGGGGGATGCAACTCAAGTGGAAGAGATCACAAGAGTGAATCACTTAACTCACCCACCACAAAGAGAAAGAGGGTGAAGTTTACCACTTTCTCCAATGTGAAGTCAAGCAATGGATGTCCAGTGCTCAGCCCATTAGCACTAGTGCAGACCAGTGAGATAAAATGGGTCTGTCCAGACATCGAGCTCGGGGACTCAAAGGATCTTAGGAACTACATGGAAAAGCTTAATGAGAATGCAATTAAAAACACTGTGTAATGGGTACTGGGGGTTTTCAATGAACTTCAGAGAAACTCACCCGAATGCCTTCCGAATGAGGAAAGAGGAAAGGGGGGGGAACAGAACAATGGCTGTTACTTAGCTTAAACACCTCACTACAAACTCACAACAGAAGACCTTGCCAGTGTTTTTTCCATGACTCAGAAAGGGTCATGTAACGAATTTCAAGTCATTATTTGCCATGACACAGCATCGTAGTCCTAAACGGGAAATACGAAAACGGCATTGTTGCTTAAATGTGTTTTTGTTTCTTCGGTTGACGTTCAGTCTTCTCTTTTGCAGCATCTAGACTGATTTCTGTTTGTTTGTTTTGTTCTCTTTGATTTAATGCTGTATTTGTTGTACTTTTTGTACCTTTACTTTTCACTGTACCTTTATTGTCTGGAGTTGCTGTCTACCCCTTAACACATGCCAGCAGTCGTAGATTATAGAAGAGAGATTAAAGCAGTTTTGTATTGTATATAAATGCAGAGGTTTATTTGGAGGTACTATCTGTATAGTAACATTTTGTAAAGTGCTGTTTGGTTTCGTTCCTGTTTTGTTTTAGTTTGGTTTGGTCTCCAGAAATCAGATCCATGCATGATGTTATTTAAAAGGCGGCATGTGTGTTCGATCTGGTGCATAAATTGAAGATTTGTAGATAACTAAAAACAGTATCCCAGGAGACATGTTTGTCAAGTATTGTTGAATTCAGTGCAGGACTGTTTCACACTGGATTTGGTATGTTGATATTTGTTTAAAGAATTCTGTTTGTTCCATCCTTTTCCTTTTTTATATTACAGTTTTATTGGTGACGTTTCTTCATCCTCCTTTGCATATTGACTAAAAATTTGCATTCTATTCCATTCAATTCAAATGGCCTCATACAATATGAATATATCAAAATGAGTTACATGTAACTTAAAAATATAGTGAGCAGGATCAAAAACATTGACAATCACTAGAGTAATGTTAGACACAATGCTTTCATTCCATAAAATCAGTTTAAATGTGGTTTTATCTGTTTTAAGAGGAAACAAAGAACACATTTAATTTTTAAGGTAGTCTGTATGCCATTTTGGTCCCCCCAAAACAGAATTAATGACAGTCAGTGAAAAAAGAAAACTGTGAACAATTAAAGTCCACATCTGACCCATTTCATCCCCTCTGTCACATGACAGTGTTAGTCCATCTTTTTCTACTGTATCTCTGTTTTAAAATTGGCTGCTGGACTAATTAAAAACCAAGGTGACTCTTGTTGGTCTGTGTGATCATTGGTCTAATTTCATTCTCCCTCTCTTGCTGGTTTTACTCATGCTTTTGGTTTGTAAATTGAGCTCTGGTTAGTGACAGTTAAGGGCAGCTGACTGACCATTTTGGGAGAAAACTGAATGACTGTTTTTTGAGTAGCAAAATGTTGGCTTTGAAAGGTGAAATGGTGAATTAAACTATATGTTTCATTAATTGTTTTCAGGCACACAAAAAAATTACTTTTTGCTAAAAGGACTTTTTTCATGCAGGGCCAGTGCTGTTGCTGTGACAACAAGAAATTGTCATCCAACAATTACTATCCATATTGTATTTAAGAATGAAGTAAGTTGGTAAAAGATTTTATAACAACAAGAAGTCAAGTAATATTGAATCCAATAAGAGAGCAAGAGGAAAGTTAAGTGCAATAAACTCACCATGTACTAAGACCCATAAGTATTTTAATTTACTGTTATTAAAGGTTCAAGGCCAAGTGTAACCTACTCAGACAATTAGTCTATTTCACTGTTTCGCAGACACACTGTCAATTTTCAAAGGGCAACATAATTAGAGATCACTTAGTTCATTCTTATTACATGTTAATGTGGCATTTCCCATACAATTTATCTTGCACATTTACTACACCTATTCAGATATATTGTGGGCCTTTAATTAAAGTAAACCCTATGGATATATCCTAGGGTAACTGGGAAACTCTGAAGAGGTTTTTTTACCATTAAAAAGTCAGTAATAATGATATTTTTGCAAATTTCAAGAGTGTGGTCAGTTTCTGAATTAAATTAATAAATAAAGCAGGTTAAGAGGCTAGAATACTTTCCAGTTCTCACCTCCGATCACTATTTTCCTCTATTGAAATTTGTTTTCCTAGACATTCTGACTTAATCCTCTCCAAGAGTGTACTCTCATCTTTCGTTCACAAAAACATCTGACTTCCTCATGTTGAAAAGATCTCTACAACTTCTATTAATCCTTTTCAAACATCTTACATTCTTCCAGCCCATGGAAAAAAACTATTTTTTATCTCCTTTCTCCTTTCCACTGAGGTGCTCCAAAACACTACAGCTGCCTTTCACTCACAACCAACTCAGTCGTGTGCCTATGTCCTCCCTGCTCAAGTGCTTGGTATCTTTCTTGCTGACATAAAAAATTCTGGATCTGCACTCTCGCTCACTAAGTAACTGACAGCTACTGTCAGGTATAATGGAACAGAGACCTTACACCATTACAGACCATCTCCACTGACATTTGCTATGCCAATACATGACTAGTTATCCTATTTCATACATTCTCCCAACGTTTCTATGACAACAGTCCTCTCCATAACTATTTCTCTTTTTCGTGTCCCTGCCACTTCAGTCTTTTGACATGCACTGTAATGAAGATCACCAGTTACATTATGTATCGCATTTGAACACTTTCTTACCACTTCCAGTTATGGATATATGTTTGTACACATATATATTGAAATGTTCATGTTCATGTTCATGCATATTTTACACAAATGTATTTGTGTAAATATTGTATGTATAACATTATACAGATATATATAGACAGATATAGATATATGGAAATGTGTGTGCTATTTCTTTATTAAACATAAGCCTTAGTCAGGAGAAAGTTCAACCTCCTCCTGCCTTTTTGCTGTATTGGTTGCCCTAACATCCCATTTCATGAAAGTTATGGATGCACTATTACAGAATCACCTCAGTAGACAAGTTTATCTTTCTGAGACTGATGTGGAAGATGCTATCATCTCCCCGCTTCAGCCAGCCCACTGTCTGGACAAAAAAAGCCGCATGGCCACAACTGTGTTCTTTGATTTCTCCTGAGCTTTAAATACTATTCAGCCCAGACTATTCTGCAAAGAATCCCCAGAAAATACAGATGGTTACCTCTATAACCACTGTGAGTATTGAAAACCAGACAAATATTACACACTTTGTGAAACTGAAGAGTGTGTCCGAGAGGTTTTCATCAGCACATGAACACCGCATGAGTCTGAAGACTTCCTGTTCTGTCCTCTCTGGAATTATTCTGATTACTTATTCAGACTAGGTGTTCCAGCGTGGAACAGGAGGGTGAGTGCAGGGAGGCAGTGGAACACTTTGTGAAACGTAATGGGAACAGTTACCTCATCCATAGCACAAAGACCGTGAAGAGACCATCATATCATCCCTCTGATTTTTGGAGCACAAGGGATTAACCCAAAACTAGAAAAAAACATGTTCATTGGAGAAGGGGTCAAGGTGGGTGGGTGATAACAGATACCTGAGTGTTTACATGGACAATAGACTGGACCTGTAATGCTTTTCTGAGGCTGTCTATATGCAGGAACTGAACAGACTGTATCCAATGGATGCTCAGCTCTTCCAATCTCTACGCTTGGGCACTCAGTATCTTATTTAAAACTGTGATGGAGTGTGTAATCTGCTTTGCAGCTGTGTGTTCGGGCCACAGCATCCTAACCAGTGACTCAAAAGGACTAAACAAACTGAGGAAGCGCTTCTAAGAACACCTCTGATGTTGAAAGCAACAAAGTGTGTTCAGGTTTCTTCAGCTTCACTGCAACTCATTACAGCAATTTACTATTTTTAGTTTATTCAGTTTCATTTATTTCATAATTAAATCAAGGCCAGGTGTCATCAAATGAGCCTATGTGTGCGTAGCTTTTTAAAGGACTGCACATCTGTCCAACTGCAGGTGTCAGAGACACACATCTTTGAAGAGGCATGAGGTTGACTTTGAGTGTCCCTCGGTCATAGAACTAACATGACTGCCGATATCAAACCTATTTTAGTTGTTCTATTAATTTGAATCGATAATCTGAATCATGCCTTTTAAAGGTGGAGGATCTAAATTTTTGACTGTCCAAGACAGTTAGCGGTTCTGAATTACACACATAGCAAGGAGAATGTGTACAAAGACTATCAGATTTAATTTCATTTTAACACCGGATTGTCAAAGATTCAAAGACTTATTGTGCAGAACAGGATCAAAATTAGAAATAACACTTGTTTGGCTCACAGAGCTTGAATCAATACTCACTAGGCTGTTGATTAAGAAAAGAAAAACTTCCATCATGGGTCTTAACAACAAACATTTTTGTAATAGTGTAACTAATAACTTAAAAGCACAAATGTGTTTGTTCCAGAATAATTCCTCTAAATATGTGAGATAGAAACTTTTTTTTTGTTATAATCCTTGAAATGTCATAAAAAATATATCATTAATGAGAAAATATAATGTGAGGCATTTCATTTCCAACAGATTTTAGCCGTGGAACTGGCTGCCAGGATTGGAAATGTCCATGTGCCACAAAATATATGTGGAATATTTAATGGATAAGCCTTTCATCTCCCATAGGTATCTGCTATTCCCGGAAAATGACTTCATATGGCTTTGTGGATCACTGACTTAATTCTACAGCAGAGTTTTGAACAGTATGCTGTGATGTATTACCATGAAGTCGACATTCACTACCACTATATATTGCGTTAACTTTGGCTGAGTTCATTGGAGTAAAGATCCTCCAAAAGTATCCCACGGATGGTTAATTCACAGTTCCAAGAAAATGTGGTCAAGTGGTTGTGAGAGCACCTTTTGTTCACCTGTGTGGTGAACTGATCAGTGTCCATCCCTTTTGTCGCTGTTTCAGTGTGGATGGATGGTAAAAAATTACCCTGAATGTGTGTGCATGTCCATGTGTTCCTCTCAGCTTGAATAATGGCTTA